GATTCCATATTTCAAGATATACTACAAAGCTGTAGAGATCAAAACAGTATGGTACTGGCACAAAAGTAGACAAATGGATTAATGGAACAGAATAGAGACCCCAGAAATAAACGCACATTTATATGGTCAATTAATCTATGATAAAGGAAGCAAGAATATACAATGAGGAAGAGACAGTCTTTTCAATAAATGGTGCTGGGAAAAACTGAACAGCCACATGTAGAAGAATGAAATTGGACTACTTTCTAACAACATACATAAAACTAAACTCAAAATGGATTAAAGACCTAAACAGGAGGCGAAACCATAAAAATTCTAGAAGAGAAGATAGGCAGTAATTTCTCTGACATTGGCCATAGCAAAATTTTTCTAGATATGTCTCCTGAGGCAAGGAAAACAAAAGCAAAAATAAACTATTGGGACTACAACAAAATAAGTTTTTGCATAGCAAAGGAAACCATCAACAAAATGAAAAGGCAACCTACTGAATAGGAGAAGATATCTGCAAATCATTTATTTTATAAGGGTTAATATCAAAAATATATAAAGAACTTAAACAACTCAACACCAAAAGAAAAAACAAACAGCCTGATTAAGAAATGGGCAGGTGACCTGAATAGACATTTTCCCAAAGAAGACATACAGATGGGGCGTCTGGGTGGCTTAGTCGTTAAGCGTCTGCCTTTGGCTCAGGTCGTGATCCCAGGGTCCTGGGATCAATCCCCGCATCCGGCTCCCTGCTCTGCGGGAAGCCTGCTTCTCCCTCTCCCACTCCCCCCTGCTTGTGTTCCCTCTCTCGCTGTCTCTCTCTGTCAAATAAATAAAATCTTAAAAATAAATAAATAAATGAATGGATGAATAAATAAATAAAAAAGAAGACATACAGATGGCCAACAGACACATGAAAAGATGCAGCTCAACATGACTAATGATCAGGGAAATGCAAATCATAATCACAATGAGATATCACTCACATCTGTCAGAATGGCTAAAATAAAAAAGACAAAAATACACCAAGTGCTTGCGAGGATGGGGAGAAAAAGGGTACCCTCCTGCATTGTTGGTGGGAATGTAAATTAGTACAGCCACTGTGGAAGAGAGTATGGAGATTCCTCAGAAAATCAGAAGTAGAAATACCATATGACCCAATAATTTCACTATTTGAAATTTACCCAGGGAACGCAAAAACACTAAGTCGAAAAGATATATGTATCCCTGTTTACCACAGCATTACTTACAATAACCAAGACATGCAACCTAAATATGCATCAGTAGATGAATGGATAAGGAAAATGTGGCATACACGCTATGGAATATTACACAACCATAAAATATGAGATTGTGCCATTTGAGACAACACAATGGACCTAGAAGGTATTATGTTAAGTGAAATAAATCAGACTGACAGACAAATACCATATGATTTCACACATAAATGGAATCTAAAAAAAAATGAATAAACAAAAAGCATAATCAAAACTATAAATACAGGGGCGCCTGGGTGGCTCAGTCGTTAAGCGTCTGCCTTCAGCTCAGGTCATGGTCCCAGGGTCCTGGGATCGAGTCCCGCATCGGGCTCCCTGCTCAGTGGAAGCCTGCTTCTCCCTCCCCCACTCTCCCTGCTTGTGTTCCCTCTCTTGCTGTGCCTCTCTCTGTCAAATAAATAAATAAAATCTTAAAAAAAAAAAAACTATAAATACAGAGAACAAACTGATGGTTGTCAGAGAAGGGGGTTGGGCAAAACCGGTGAAGGGGAGAGGCAGGTACAGGCCTCCAGTTATGGAATGACTAAGTCACCAGAATAAAAAGCAGAGCATATGAGTGAAGTAAGTCAATCAGAAAAAAAGAAAAAGTCAATCAGAGAAAGACAGGTATCATATGACCTCACTGATATGAGGAATTCTTAATCTCAGGAAACAAACTGAGGGTTGCTGGAGTGGGGGTGAGGTGGGAGGGATGGGGTGGCTGGGTGATAGGCATTGGGGAGGGTATATGCTATGGTGAGCGCTGTGAATTGTGCAAGACTGTTGAATCACAGATCTGTACTTCTGAAACAAATAATGCAATACATGTTAAGAAAAAAAAAAGAAGATAGCAGGAGGGGAAGAATGAAGAGGGGGAGACGAACCATGAGAGACAATGGACTCTGAAAAACAAACTAAGGGTTCTAGAGGGGAGGCGGGTAGGGGGATGGGTTAGCCTGGTGATGGGTATTAAAGAGGGCACATTCTGCGTGGAGCACTGGGTGTTATGCACAAACAATGAATCATGGAACACTACATCAAAAACTAATGATGTAATGTATGGTGATTAACATAACAATAAAAATTTAAAGAAAAAAAAGCAGAGCATAAGGAATACAGTCAGTGATATTGTAATAGTTACGTAATGGGAGAGGTGGTAAGCTATACTTGTGGGGAACATAGCATAATACTTTATGCTATAAACTTTTCCTTTTTTTTTTTTTTTTAAGATTTTATTTATTTGTTTGACAGCGAGCACAAGCAAGGGGAGTGGCAGGCAGAGGGAGAAGCAGATTCCCCGATGAGCAAGGAGCCCGAAGCAGCACTCGATCCCAGGACCCTGGAATCATGACCTGAGCTGAAGGAAGATGCTTAACCGACTGAGCCACCTAGGCGCCCCTAAACTTTTCAAATCAGTAAGTTGTAGACCTGAAACTAATGTAACATTGTGTCAACTATGCTCAAATCTTATGGGGCACTTGGCTGGCTCAGTTCGGGTTGTGAGTTGAAGCCTCACACCGGGTGTAGAAATTGCTTAAAAATAAAAATCTCTTGGGGCGCCTGGGTGGCTCAGTCGTTAAGCATCTGCCTTCTGCTCGGGTCATGATCGCAGGGTCCTGGGATTGAGCCCCCGCATCGGGCTCTTTGCTCCGAGGGAAGCCTGCTTCTCCCTCTCCCACTCCCCCTGCTTGTGTTCCCTCTCTCGCTGTGTCTCTGTCAAATAAATAATAAAATCTTAAAAAAATAAAATAAAATAAAAATATCTTTAAAAAGGGGGGGCCTCAGAGGAAGATGCAAAATGGACTCCAGTGGGAAAATAGCAACTATTGGGAAAAGTTAAAATTCTGATTTTTAAATTTATTATACGCCACACTCAAGAAATCTGGGCTACACAAAAAAGAAATACATCAAAATGGTGAAAACCGCATTTTAACGAGTTTAAAAACAGTTTGTAACATTCCTAGGAGACACAGAAAAATAACAAATATACTAACTCTTGGATAGATAATTCATATAGTTTCTTGGTTGTCCTAAGATTGTACTTAATTGAAAATCATACATAAAATAAGTAGAAAAGCTATGGGTAAAATGCTAACTTACAAGAGGTTGGACATTTACATGGTAGTTTCATAATTCTGAAACTTCTTTGTGATTTTGAGACCAATATAAGTAGCTAAGTGACATTAGAAGGATTTTTAAACCTCCATGGTTTAAGTTCCTTCTGTTTAAAATTCCAAATGAAAAGAATTTCTTACAGATTAAGAAGTTAGGCTAGCATTTTTTTTTTTAAGATTTTATTTATTTATTTGAGAGAGAGAGAATGAGAGATAGAGAGCACGAGAGGGAAGAGGGTCAGAGGGAGAAGCAGACTCCCTGCTGAGCAGGGAGCCCGATGCGGGACTCGATTCCGGGTCTCCGGGATCATGACCTGAGCCGAAGGCAGTCGCTTAACCAACTGAGCCATCCAGGCACCCTAGGCTAGCATTTTAAAACACACTGTAAGGGACGCCTGGGTGGCTCAGGTCATGATCCCAGCGTCCCGGGATTGAGCCCTACATAAAACTCCCTGCTCAGTGGGTAGTCTGCTTCTCCCTCTGCCTGCCATTCCCCTTGCTGGTGTGCTCTTTCTTTCTCTCTCTCCGTCAAATAAATAAATAAAAAATAAAAAAACACACCACACTGTAAGAACAGTTCTCTCTTAGCTGAGATAAAAAAGGTGATCCCATATCTTTATTATTTCAGAATTTTATGTTATAGGTAGGAGGGAATTTTTAAAGTGAGACTGTGAGGCTTATTAGCCAAGACCTTTCAAAGTAGTGGTAAAGCTAAAATACAGGGGAAGGAGAAAAAAAAATCCCCTTACTATGATTTAGAATATCCCCCTGTACAGGACCAAACAAGTATTTTAGGCTTTGTGATTTGTACAGTCTCTACTGTAGCTACTCAACACAGACCCTGTAGCAGGAAAGTTGTTTCAATAAACCTTTCCTTAAGGGCACTGAAATTTGAATTTCATATAATTTTCACGTGTTACTAAATATCCCTCCACGAATTTTTTTTTTTTAAGATTTTATTTATTTAATTGACAGAGAGAGAGACAGAGAGAGAGGGAACAGAAGCAGGCGGAGTGGGAGAGGGAGAAGCAGGCTTCCCGCCGAGCAGGAAGCCCGATGCGGGGCTCGATCCCAGGACCCTGGGATCATGACCTGAGCCGAAGGCAGTCGCTTAACCAACTGTGCCACCCAGGAGCCCCCCTCCAGGAATTTTTTTTTGTCCCAACCACTTAAAGACATAAAAACTATTCTTAACTTGAGGGGCCACACCAAAAGCCACACCAGGCTTAGTGGAAAAGTACAAACATCACCCTCTTGGTAGGAAATATAACAAATGAAGCTTCTGGATTGAAAAGGGGTCGTAACCATAAAATAAAGAGGCAGGACGTTTTTTTATGTAGCTAAGGCCTTAGATGCACCTCACAACCCGTTTGAATATCGGGGCCGCAGGGCTTGAGTAGATGAGAAAAGGAGGGGAAATTACAGCTCCGAAGGGCCCGGGGCACTTCAACTCTATTAATAAGATGTAACCCTCCTCTTTTTCGAAGATGAAGGGGCTTAAGGAGCTAAACTGAATGACGCATGACCCAGCTATTAAGCAACCAAGTCAGAATTCGAAGCCTTCGGGACCCTGACAACAGAGGGCGGGGCTCTGGGCCACCACGCCCGTTTGGATCCGGCCGAGCCGGCCAGAGGGAACAACCTGAGCAGCAGGGTCAAGCGGTCCTCGGGACGCGCCGTCTGGGCGCCGGCGACCTGTGGTGACCCGCCTTCCCCGCCTCCCGCTCCGGAGTCCGCGGGCTCGGCGGCCGCTTGCTCTCCGGGTTGCTTCTCCATTCTGACTGGCGCGAAGAGGAATCGCCTGGGACGGAAAGATGCAGCCTCAGGACTCGATTTTCCCGCCACTAAATTGACGCCCGGAAAAGGCCGGAGAACCGCCGCGCTCCGTCCCGCCCCTTCCGCCCTACGGTCCCACCCCTTCCGTCCCGTTCTCTGGTTGCCGTGGTTACTCCTTTCACTCTTATCCCGGCGACTGGTATAAGACCACTAGTAAGAAAAAGTGGAACTTTAGGCATCAGCTTTGTCAAGTGCTGGGCTAGGGTTTGGGTTACAGCCGTTTGGGACACACCCCGGCTCCCGGGAACCGCCTGGAAGCCTGGAAGGGAAAACCCCGACACATATGGTCAATCATCCTTGGCTCTGGGACAGTGGATCTTCGGGACAGCGGTTTTTGGACCCATCTTGGCACTCCGTTAACCTTCACAGCCTTGGAAAATGGGTGTACCCGGGCAGGCCAAGAAAGGGAAACAATGGAGGATTGTTTTGTTTAAGTAGACTTTCGATCTGAGTTCTTAACGTCCAGACACCCCTCGTTTGACGAAGTTCAGGGATACCTAAAGCCCCTACGAGGCAGTGCATATACTTGAACCCCGGACTTGCAGCGTGAAATTTCACTATCAGTAAGATTCGCACTCTGTTAACAGTTATGTGCCCCGAAGTGTTAGCTTGTCGACTGACTAGGTTGCAGTTAAGCTTTTCAGCTGGGCAGTGAGCAGGTAATGGAGAAAATGCAGGACGGAAAAATTCCTGATTGTAGTTCATTAAGGGCTGTCGCTCTAGCTTTGTAGCAAAAGCACAGGAACTCAGACCTCTGAACAAGAAAGCCGAGCATTCCCCTTAAATAACTAGTTTCCCCTGAGTTATACTTGGTCACACAGTGCGCGCTCTCCTTTCTTCCTCATCATTATGAAAGTTACAGCTCCCGGTATAATTTTCGATTCAAAAGGATGTAAGTAAGACCGTAGATTCGCCACTCCTAACCCCAAACTCCTGGAAAAGCATGGTTTCCTTTCATTTTTTATTTTACATAAAAAGGGCAATGTTACTGTTTTTTAGGTTTACCCTGGATGTCTTCCAATATCTCACATCAATCGCATACTTTTAAGCAGTTACCTATCTGGTGTCCCAGGCCAAATTTGGGACAAAGACAATGCAGTAGTTCCTCTCAGCAGGAATCAGAATCATGGGGAGGACTAGTTAAAACCGACTGCTAGGTGGGCGGGAGGATGAGTGAAATAGGTGAAGGGGCTTAAGAGCAGACTTAATGTGATGAGCACAGAGTAATGTAGAGAACTGTTGAATGGCTATGTAGTGCACCTGAAATTAATATAACACTATGTTAATTTTACTGGCATTTAAATTGGCAGGTGCCTCTCCCAAATTTTCTGATTTTCATTTCTAACAAATGCCCAGGTGATATTCATGATACTGGATGGGGATGACACTTTGAGAACCACTGGGGTAATGGATTATAACTGATTTTTTAAAAATCCTTTAAAAAAAAAATCCAGAGTAAAATAAAAAGGGAATATGTGGGTGTGGAGCTATTCTTTAGAGAATGTCCAATAATATAGAAGGGATAATACAATTAGCTAACTACCATCATGTGACTCCCAGTGAGGTAAATGACTCAAAATTAATATCATTAATGGATAATAAAACTAAAGATTACAGCAGCTTTACAGCAAATCTGTATTAGGTGGTTACCATCTTAACCAGATGATCAAACTCAGTATCATCAGTAGCTTAACAACTAATATGACTCCAAAATGATGCATGACTTGTACAAATCACCTATATTCTTGCTAGAATGCATAACCTGAACTTAACTATGAAGAACCAATCAGACAAGAAATCTAGAATGATGGGGTGCCTGGGTGGCTCAGTCGTTAAGCATCTGCCTTTGGCTCAGGTTGTGATCCCAGGGTCCTGGGATCGATCCCTGCATCGGGCTCCCTGCTCTGCCGGAAGCCTGCTTCTCCCTCTCCCACTCCTCCTGCTTGTGTTCCCTCTCTCGCTGTGTCTATCAAATAAATAAATAAAATCTTTGAAAAAAGAAATCTACAATGATGGACATTCTATAAGACAAACAGACTGGACAATTCATGTCCATGCCTTGAAAAACAAAAAGCAGGACAACTATTGTATATGGGAAACAAATTTTGATTGGAACCTGTTTTGGAAAAAAGCTTGTAAAACATCTTTGAAACAATGGAGAAAATCTGAATATGCACTGCATATTACATATGGAGTTGTTAATTGTCTTAATGTGATAAAGATTATGGTTATTTAGAAAATGAATTATTAGATGCATGATGAAATATTTTAAGGTGACATATTGAAATCTAAAATTTACTTTGAAATGACTCTGAAAAAGAAAAATAGATGCACACATATAGATATGCTCCCAACACACATACTTTTCTTTCTTTATACCTGTAATTCAATATTTGCCTACAAAAGTACCTAGAACTTTGTCCCCTAACAGGAAAAAAAATCTTTTTATATCTTCAGAATATTTACAGAAGTCATTCAAGTACTTATCTACAGAGAAAACATTAAGTTTCAAAAAGGCTTTTTAAAAACCCCTATTTCCAACAAAATTAAAAAAACACCAACACGAAGATGTTCGACAAAAAACTTTAAAAAAGAAACCAACTACTTAGAAAATTAGCAGCTAAATAATCTCCAGATAAAGAACCACAAAAGAAATTATAACAACCAGAAATAGATAAAAAGGAGGGCTTCAGAAACAAGCTATCTCAAAGAAAATGTATAAATGCTTTTATCACCAAAATACATTGAGTATTTAACTTAAACTAGAAAATAACAAAAGAAAAAGATGGTGAGAATAGTGTAAAAACTAAAACTACAAAATAAAGGTCATAGAAATGTAACACGAAAATGGATTCTTTCAAAATACCCCCCCAAAAAACAAAACCTCCACACAAGCCTGGTTAGAAAATAAAATATTTAGTATCAGGAATGAGAAACAAGGTATAATTATATACACAGCTATAATTTTAAAAACCTAGAATAGAGTATTTCCTATTAATTGGGGGGGACAATTCCTAAAAAAATACCAAATGACAATGGAAAACATATTTTAAGCAGATCCAGGCCAAATGATTGTAAAAGTTTAATTAAGCTAGTTTTAAATGAATGAATAAGGATTTCAAAGTATGTGATATAAAAATGAAAACCTCTTTAATCCACCTGAAACCTCGTAATACAAGAAAAACTAGAAAACCATACCAACAACAAAAATTGGGCCAATTTCCCAAATGAGATGCAAAATTTTCTAGAAGAAACATTAAATCTATGTAAGTTGAGCAAGATTTCATTCCACTTTAATAAACCTCTAATGTGGAATATTATACCATATTAATAACCCTAATAACACCATAAGCTGAAAAAGTAAATGAATTTCTACAGCCTTGCCAATTAACAACTCTAAACAAAAACAGAAAAATACCTAAGATATAAAGACTACTTAAAGCCTAACAACAAAAATGTTCAATGACAAAAACACTTGAGATGTCTAATCCAGAAAAAACACAGGGATTTGCCTATTATGATTATGTTGGAGACTTTTTTTTTTTTAATTTTATTCATTTATTTGACAGACAGCTAGCACAAGTAGGCAGAGCAGCAGGCCGAGGGAGAGGGAGAAGCAGCAGGCTCTCTGCTGAGCGGGGAGCCCCACCGGGGGCTCCATCCCAGGACCCTGGGATCATGACCAGAACCAAAGGCAGACGCTTAACGGACTGAGCCACCCAGGCGCCCCAATGTTGGAGATTCTAATACAGTAAATACCATAAACATTGAAAAAATAAAATTAATTTTAAGGCCTAGGTTTAAGGTTTTCTACTCCATTAAAAACAAATTGAGTAAAAAAAAAAATTAAGAATACTGGTGTCAGCTGGATAAGAAAACTACAACTAGCAATAAAAAGATAGGTGGGAAATAGATCCCATTCACAATAGTGACAAAAAACCACAAACCCAACAATAAACTTGTTATATAATTAAAATTCTAATATTCTATTGGAGGGCATGCAACAAGCCTTGGAGAAAAATGCTTCTGGATGAGAAGACAGGTCTACTCAAAACCTCAAAGTTTTTCCATTAACTGGACATAACTTTATACATTTCTTATGTTTGAAATTGCCCCCAAATATCTGAAAAATAGTGCTAGCTTCATCTTATCAGATAATGTAAGTTTTACATTGTTTATCACAGGAAAAAACAAGTAGAAATAATTAGATCAGGAAATGACAGATGGGTGGGACACCTGAGGGGTCAGATGGTTAAGTTCTGCCTTTGGCTCGGCTCATGATCCCAGGGTCCTGGGATCGGGCCCCACATCCAGCTCCCTGCTTAGCGGGGAGTCTGCCTCTGCCCCTGCTCATGCTCTTTGTCGCAAATGAATAAATAAAATTTTTCTAGAAAAAAAAAGGAAATGATAGATGGGCATTGTTTCAATTCAGGTCGACAAGGATAATTTTGATCATGTGGCACAGGCATAAATGGGCACCTATCTGTCAAGAGTCCTACCTTATCCCATATACAAAAAGTTTGAGGGATTATAAATATAATGGGTAAATTTTAGATGTTTACGGTTTTGGGATAGAGTTGACCTTAGGACTGAAAACCCAGGGGCGCCTGGATGGCTCAGTCAGTTAAGCGTCTCTGCCTTTGGCTCGGGTCGTGATCCTGGGGTCCTGGGATTGAGACGCACGTCGGGCTCCCTGCTCAGCGTAGAGCCTGCTTTTCCCTCTCCCTCTTTCTGCCACTCTGCCTACTTGTGCTCTATCTTTCGGCAAATAAATAAAATCTTTAAATCTTTTTTTTTTTAAAGATTTTATTTATTTGACAGAGAGACAGCGAGAGAGGGAACACAAACAGGGGGAGTGGGAGAGGGAGAAGCAGGCTTCCCGCTGAGCAGGGAGCCCGATGCGGGGCTCGATCCCAGGACCCTGGGATCACGACCCGAGCCGAAGGCAGAC